TGTTTATTTATGTATATCAACCTTTTTTTCTGGTACGTTTTTGATTGAACTTGCAAAATAGCTGTGGCTTTAACACTGTGGAAATGGGACTGTGTCTAAAATCAAACGGCTGCAGTTTTCAAGTAAACAGATTGCTTATTGTTTTCTTTACAGCCCCCCCTTCAGTTAAAGCTGTTAAACCAAGGAAAAATTATCACAAGAAGATCCAGTTTTAGCCAAATTATAGGAAGTGGCATTCCTATAATTTGGTGCTGAGGCTGTATTTACTCAAAACTCAGAGCGGATGCCTGAGACTACAGAGAACATGTCAACCCCCCTCCCTTTGCCTCCGTTCTTAATCTTCACCCAGTTTGAGGGGTTTTATCTGGGAATAAGGAAACGGTAGGGAAATGGCTTCATTTTGTCCCAACAGACGACGTAGCAATCAGTAACGTAAAAACGGTTAGTAACGTGATGCCTGCCAATAACAAATGACATTTGGCCATTTTAAATGCAATGCAGCAAACAACATAGTAACTTGGCGATAATGTATTACAGTTTTTAAATCCAATAACATCAGAACATTTAGTTAATTATGTAATGGTGCTACGCTATTGGGCTGGGAACTCCAAGCAAAACCATGCGGATCACATGAGCATGACTCTCTCCCTGATATACACCAAATTCCATGAAATGACTGAAGTGGCTGAAGCACGTTAGAGAGTGACCTGCAACAAAGCAGACTTTTGCGGTCTTAAACTCTAATCTCAAAAACTTGTAGAAGTTTGTGCAATTGCTATTTTCTGAACCTCTAAACTGTCATAAGGTTTGCAATAGAAGAGTTAATAGACAGCAGCCAGCGACTAATCGCATGGCAAACAGGTGGAGGTGGGTTACTGTGCGCCGGTAATCGTCCTGTGTGAAACACAGATCAAGAGCTGAATATTTATTAATAGTCAGAGAAACTGGAAAATCTATTTTTGTGGTTTTAGTAGAAATTTTTACACAACCTTTTCCGTTTGGTGGCTACTCTGATCTGAAACGCGTTACACATTCTATTCTTGACGTGTTTCACACAGGAAGATCACTGGTGTCACACTTCCATTTGCCTTGAAAATATTTGTCAGCTTCTGTTAAATTTGGAGACATCTTTTATCAACCATGCCTCAGTTCATGCCCGCCAGGCGATCACTTCATAACGACTTGAAAACAATTTTTTCCCAGATAATTTTTTTTCGTATCATCTTATCGTAATCTTTAAAGAAAAAAAAAAAACGAAAACACAGTTTTGAGATTGGAGTTACTTTAAGATGGTACAAAATCTACTGTTGTTTTGTTTTTTTTTTTGCTCCTGTTAAGTTGGACATTAGCTTCAGCCTTTGAGAGCTAGCAATATGGACCTATACTAATGAAGATGGAATTGAAGTAAGAATTGCCAAGTGCAGTTAAAATAAGAATAGATGACAATTATTTGCCAGAACCTCACTTTAAAAAAAAATAAAAAAAACAACCTCCTGAACCTATTCTGTAAGGCTCAGCTTCCTCCTTTTTCACATGTAAAGTATGCACATTCAGTACACATGGAGGAAGTATCTTTTGACTTCCCATCTGCCCGGTGCCATTCAGCTCTCAAGTGTGTCATGTGATATTAAATGATTTGTTTTTTTTCTCCAGCTGAAAATAAAACGAACTGATAGTGAGGAAATATCAAACATTTGATTCAGTTTTTAAAAGATGATTAGCGTGAGAGTCCTGTGCCTTTGAATGGGGTCATCATGTTTGATGTTGAATGTATGACATGCATCACTGTTTAAATTGACATTTTATTATACCATATGAAGCTGTGTTGAATAGACCGTGTGCACCTTTTAGTAAAGTACCACTACTGATGATGCTTGTGATGAGCAGTATTTGACCAGTGTCTCAAAAGAAAGGAGAGACATTTTTCTTTTAAAGCCTTGAACCACTTTATTTGACAGGGCCCATATTAACTTAAATGTATGCACTCAGAAAATGTAAATGTATATGACTTTCAGGATAAACATGGAATTGAGAAAAAAATATATAGTGTAAAGGGAAGTTGCTTGTAATTAAAATAAATGTGGCTTTTATCGTACTTTGCCGGAATGGACTTGTGTGTCTTTTTGAGTTTGTCAATTCAGTATTGTGATTTCCTTTTTATGCTAAAGCCGTGTGTTTTATGTATGCAATTTGTGCTTCAGTTGCATACATAAATTTACATTCTGATTTCAAACGAGAAACAGATCTAGAGTTTTCATTTTGTGTGCTTTAAAGGGATAGATCGGCGTTTTTGAAGAGAGGTTCTGCTAAAAAAAAATTTAGAAGCAGTTAATCTTATCTGCAGTAGATAACTCTCTTGGCATCTTTATTTAGGATAAATCCAGATTAGATGGTGCAGAGCGAGGCAGAGTTGTACCATCCTACACCAACTCCAACACCTAAAATATAACAGTTTAAGAAAATGCAGTTTTCTAAACTATGAAACAATTATCACTTTTGAATTGGCTTTTAATTTACACAGACATCATGGTTTATTGACACAGGAAATGGAGGCCGGAAGTATTGCACCAGCAATTACTTCCCTGTCTGAAACAAGTACCCAGAACATAATGTATTTACTGTTCAGAGTAACTAAAAGTAAAGTGGTGTAAAATGCAAAAATATTATAGTTTTTAAACCAAATACGAAATAAGCCACAAGTAAAACTAACATGGGTTTATACAAAACAAAGATGCTGGTATCTACTGCAGAAAAAGATGCTACTGCTTAGAACCTCATAACACTCAAATATCCAAAATTATCCCTTTAAAATATTGTTGGGCATAAAATGTACTTCTTCAGTCTTTGCAGTGCGGCAAAGATGATGCACTTCTGTTTGAAACATGTCTCCAACACATTAAAGTATGTGCTGGAAATGATGAAATAGTTGGGCCACATTTAAAGAAAGCAGGGCATTCATGAAGCAGTAAGCAACCCAGTTATGGAGAGTTTGGCAGTACCCAGTCTGAGGCAAATAGACTCTGCATGTAGTGTTTCCATGTCTGTGATACATGTGTGTCACATTCAAGGGCAATGAGGAGCAGGGGACAGTCTTCACAACCTACTTTTCTATTAACTCCAAGGTAACAATATGAGGACTAAGTGCCAGAGCTATAAAAAACTGAGAAGCAGTACATTTCTGATTTTGGGGACCTTCTTAAACACTTATTTACGCAAATCCGCCATCTTTACACGAATACCAGGGTAGAGTTGGTAGAGTTAAACACGCTATCTTCGTTAGGTGGGAGAAGTCTCTCCCAGTAGGTCTGCCTGCTCCTCAGCTGTGTCTATCACTGCATGCCGTTTGCCGTTTTTCAGACTTCATAAACACTATCTCCTTCTCAGTCGCAGCTCCTCACTCGAATCCCAACAGGCAACAGGAGATAAGGGTGAGCCCAGTCGCCCGTAGCAACCGCCGTGTCCAGTCAGAGGCCTCTGTGCATGCCGGCAACTAGGAAGTGAGCTAATTAACCTCGAGTTCAGAACGGAAGGAGAGTGGCTTTTTAATAAGATTCGCCTTGTTATATAAGCAGTGACGCCCTCCACGGAACTCCGTGGAATATTGTCGCCCCGTGTCTGTCCATCTGTTGCGGGGATGAAGAGGAGGAGGCGTCCTGTAACCAAGCTTTAATGAGGCACATCAGGGCAGCAGAAGAGGAGAGGACCGCAGAGTGCTACTAGGAAGGTACACTAAGCAAACACGCACACACTTGCACACAGAGGGAGACACGGAAACGTGAGTGGTCCAGCCTTTGGTCCCTAAATGCAATCTTTGCCCAAACCACCGACATGTGAATTTAATCGAGCCTTAATCTTAAAGCCAAGAATGCCAACGCAGAAATCCTTAATCTGTGTTGGACAAAACTCAAACCATAACACTCACATTATTTCTGACAATACAGGACTATTAAATAATATGGAACATTATTATTTAATATACAGACTTCATTAGTATATTTACAGCTTAACATACATTTTTTGTTTGTTGGTCAATTTAGATTTTAAACAGTAACAAATTAGTTAATACCTTTCAAGTTTAGTATTTAAGCTAGTGGTTTGTGAAGCTCTGAAAGACATCAGCAGTGATGTCATTTCCATTGCCAGGGGCTCAGTGTGAAGGCTGCTTTTGTTGTAGACAGAGATTCTGTGTTACAGTAGTGACAGATCGGGTCAGAAGCTTACATACAGTCATCTTGTCCCTGAACGTCCCTGAGCAACCGCTGTGTTGATTATTTAATCAGCTCTCTTTTTCAGGATACACTGATAGCAACATACAACTGGATTTAATTTTCTTAAAGCAAGGTTGTGGAACAACAAGTTTGAATGTCTTGTGAATTTTCTCTGATCTGCAAATGAGAGAAAATTGAAATTCTGAAAACTTTCTCAGAATTGCTTTTTTATTTATACCTCATCTACAGGTAAACATGTTCTCTTGTTGACATGGGGCATTGGGTGAGATGGTCTGTAGATAATAAATGAAAGCCACAAAGGTAATTTACATGCACAATCAATATTCCAAATAGTCATCCAAAATATAGGATTTGGATAAATCTCTATCAGTAAGTTGCAGTGAAATAAGGCACTGAATCATCAGGGTGATGTTAAACAATTGGATACAGTCCTATTTCATGACTCCACCAGTAGCACTGATGGCATAACATGACACTTTTATATATCCTTTATGGCTAGGGACACCTTCCGTTTTCCCAGAATGAGTTTGGGGTGTTGCTGTGTAGAGGGGATTGAAGATGTCAGCCCCCTCCATCTAATTTTTTTATAACTGGAATAAAGTAATTAAGTTATATGCTGAAAAGAACAGTTCGTAGATTTATGTGCATTCAGCCACACTAGTGGCTTCACTAGTGTGTAGCGTGTTACTAACTTTACAAAGGGAGGAGAGGGAGGCACTGTATGTCTTTTATCAGCGCATGGAGGCTACAGTAGTCAGCTGTTAGAAACAGTGGGAGGAGCTGGATGTGGTTCTGCTGGATGACTCACTCTTCTGTCAAACAGACACACTCATTCAGTCTTTCGGTGTCGGTTGTGGGTGCAGGGGGGGAGCGCGCTGCCTATCAGAAGAGGCTCCCCTAGTCAAAGCGTTCTCCACTGGAGGGCGAGTGCTACAAGAGCACCGGGACTCTCCGGCAGGCTGGAGAGACGGGATAGAGCAGCAGCTGGAGGACACACTGGCAGACAGGCACAGAGGGAGGGAGAGAGAAATCCCCAGCAGGACTCTGCCACGCAACATCTCTGTCCGCCGACGGATTAAAATCCAGCGTCTACCGCCGAAATCACGTAAGGAACAAATGAGGCTTTCCGAAATGTATTTCGAGGCTGTTACTATAACACTCAGAGTTATGGTGTGTCGTCTGCTTCGTTAAACTGTTGAATTTAAATACGAGGCGAATGATGTATCCTTCATTTGAACTCCATCACACTGGCTGCGCGAGCCTCCCTCCAAATCCTGCTCTCCTCATTCAGACACCGCTCATCCTCTGTCTGTCTAACTCTGTCACATACACCGCTGGAGACTGTAGCATCGCACAGCTAGCTAGCCAGACGCATTAAAATGGACATTTAGCTGGGACATGTCGAATTTATTCTGGTTGTGCTCAGCGGAATTGGCCCCTCTTCCAGGTAAATACGACAGAGAGCCGCTGCGGGTTGAAATTGAAATGAAATGCAGGGGTTTATTGATGTTTCCAGCGCCCTGGGAGGCTAGCCAGAGATGCTAGCTGTAGCGGGACAGAGCAGAGGGACGACAAGCACAGCGCACTCAGGCATGGATAACTAATGGACATACAGAGCCCGGGTTACTTCTTACATGTACACACATATAAAATTCATACTTTGCTTCCTCTCAGGTTTTAATGTCAGTCCAGCCGTTATAAATATGATTAATTAATAATATAGCCTGCAGAAATTGTCCCAAGACTGCTTAATGAGTCAGGACTGTGCAGCTGCTGTGCATCCATCCCAGTCTGCATGCTGTTCCGTGCTGCTGCAACTACAAGAAGAGGTTCCTTATTTTATTTTGAACACATGTTGGTGGCTATTTTTAGGTTGTGTTTAATCAGCAAGCTACTGGTGTGAAATTATAAAGTTGAGGAACAACAGGTTAACAGGTTACACATTTCCTAAATGTTCCGGTTTTCCTCCAGGGTTTAAAGATTGTTGTGAATTTGTGCTGCATTTTCAGCTTATTTTCACATCAGCCTCCTGATAACATGTTCTAATGTCAATTTTTTGGGATGTATTTGGTAATCTTGAGTGAAAATACTCAAGATTTAAAGAGAAACTTTAAAGAGAAATGCTTCTATTTTTGAAACGGAAAAGAAACACTTATTCCTAAATCTTTAAAAATACTGCAACATTAATCACTGCAGTTGCATGGAGCTTTTAGCCAGATGTAATTTAAAAACAACACTCACCACATTAAAACTGATTAGTGTCTCTCCTTTAGTTTTCAAGTCATGACTCCATGGATTTTGCAAAGGTAAATATTTCCAAATTAATTAATTGTTTTTTGTTTTTTTGTAAGTGAGACAAAAATGTAGGAGCCTTCTTTTTTCTGCTTTTGCCATCTTACAGTCAGTGCACAGGAACAGGTGGTGTAGAGGCAGCACTGCGCTCTACACTCCATATAGCTGAAAAAACTAAAACTATTGTCCGCCACGTCTTTTATCATCCTGAGGGAGGATGATGGAACAAGAGGACTTTGCTCACTTTAATTATACACACACAGTAGAGATGACCACCTGATTCTTATCTTTTTTTTTTTTTTTTTTAAATGACTATTCAAAAATACAACAGAAAAATGTGCTGCAGTTTAGATTTTCTCTTTTCTGGTTCAGATGTAGGTTTGATTCTTTCCATGTATACGTCACACTACATGCCCCTAACTTTTATCTTTATTCTCTCTGCATTAATTAAATGATTAGGATTTATCTTAATTTGGTTTCATATTATTATTTGAAGCATTTTTAGTTCAGGGAGGATTAATTTATTTATTGATGCCAGAACCATAGTCATCCCTGTTTTTAATTTTCAGTCAATGAGAAAACAGAGTTCTTCTCTCCATACAAGCTCCATCACACGCATGCTGAAGGTACAGTCCTATTTGTCCAGAAATGCGTAGCAGGTAACTCCATTTGTCTATTTGCAGAGCAAATAGAGCACACTGCGTCATTTTGACCCGGCTTGGCAACTCCTAAAATTAACTGATGAACGAGCGCAGAGGATACCTAAAGGACTTCTCCACATGTTGTGTCCAATTTGCTGTGTCCACCTATATATTACGAGCCATAAGCCATATTTGCAGAGGGACCCGGTTCACCGCTCGTAAACCACAGCTCACAGGTGCGCTACGGAGCATCGTAAATGTCGTTTTCGGCAACAGGCTTTTAATCAAGTGGCGCAGAGCGTGTCAGTAGCCATTATTGTAAAATTGAAAACGGTCTCCCGTTTGCCAGCCTCCAAAAGCGCGTGCGTCCTCCTCTACCTGTGGAAGCCTGGCATGATTATGTGAAGAAAAACAAATTGTTCTCAGAGATATTGACTTTGCCACAGGAACGTTTCGCCAGTGATTACAGAGGCAAACATTACGCTCTCACACACACAATCCCAATCCCTTACCTGTGGCTTAAAACCAGACTGGGAGGCATTTTGATGAATAGAGGTGGACTAAGGAGCTTAAAAGCTAGCCGAGGGCATTCATGTGTTTTTATTATATTCTTTTATTGTTCAGAGGAGATGGCATTATAATTGGGGGTTTTTTCTCCTTAATGTACATAATGCCTTTTGAGAGTGTTTTGGATTTACTGAACATCCTGTTCCATGTGTTTTGGATTTTAATATACTTTGCTTCACTTGATGTGAGCGCTGATTAATTATTTATATCATAAGCAGAGTTGACGTCACAATCTGTGTGTGCGTGAGAGAAAGAGAGGGAGAGGGAGCAGTCGGAGGAAAAACAGGATTTTAACATTGTGAAACAATGCTAAAATGGCAACAGCGTTGACCTTTTAAACTAGCCGTTAGCATCTTATATTAGCAAGTAGCATTATTAGCGCAGCTAACTTTATTTCTCCCTTGGAGAATGTCGATTTTTACTTTAATCCTGAGATTTCCAAACGGCTGCAAAGACTGAGGTTTACAACTCAAAAGGATGAAACCTCAAATTTGCTGTGCTCCATTCAGCCTTCCTGTTATCTGCTGAAAGTCTTGCTCACTTTAGACCTTCTCTAGATTTGATTATTTAATTTTTTTTCAGCTTGCAATACGGTCTGGAAGCAGACAACTTTTTGTTAGTGTAAATGTTTCCTGTTTTGTTTTGTTTTTTTGTTGTTGTCAATTTCCATCTGACTGATGTGATTACAGATATGTATCTTGTGTCTATACAGTAAAGAGAAAGTAATAACCCCAGCACATCAGGGTAGAGATATATCAAATTGGAGCGCAACAAAGTAGGCGGTGATGCAATCTAACCTAATTTACAGCAGTACAGATTGAACAATTATTGCAGTTTGGTTGTTTCCGTCTCCACTGAGCCAATCATATTAACAATACTTATTGTCTGAGTCGCCTACAAGCCAAATAGTACGACTTAGAGGCTGGGTTTTACTGATGAAAAGACAGCTGAGAAATATTTAAAGATATTTTAGAGTTTGTACTATAAAATGGCTTTAAGGGATACGCTCTGCAAAAGATGAGAAATCATTTTTTTCCCGTGGTTACTCTATGGTGAGCTTGCCAACATTTTATTGATTTGCTCGCCAGGAGGTTTTTCTACTGGTGGCACTTAAATTGAATTCCACTTCATGGCAGTTTACTTTACAGGAGATGCTCTATTGCTCATTTCCTCTCCTTGTTTTTATATTGCACTGCTTCTTTTATGAGTTGGAGCGCTCAGTCAAAACAGGCTCTCCTTTGACAACTCCTATTGGTTGATTTCAATATTTATCCTGTGCCGTTTTATCTAGCCTTCCCAATTTGCATTTTGTGAATGTCTAAGTATGCATTTGAATATATATGTATAAATAATATACATTTTAACCAAATTATAGTTATGGTCAGAATCTTGCCATACACATGAATGTCATATTAGATTTGGCTTTAAAGATAATGCAAAAGTTGAGTGTTTGGTTGGTTTTCTTGGTTAACCATCCAAGTCAAATTTATAATATGAAATCTCAGATATAGTTGAAAACAAAAAATACATACACTGAATAAAAAATACATACTTTTTTTTCTCACTATCTGAAGATAAAGGAAGCCAAACTACTCTTGTTTTAGGTCATCACCAAACTTATTTCTATTTGCTAAATGCCACAATGAGTCAAAGGATATGTCAGAGATTTACACTTGAATTTTCATATTTGAGCCTTAGTGGTTGTGCTTGAACTTCTTAATCATCTTTCCTTTCCATCCTTATAGTTCAAAAGATTATAAAAACGCATAGAAGCAGGCTTTTATACGGAAGATCATTCCCCAAACTGAAGCTTGGGGAATCTTCCATAAGGTTTAACTTCAGCCCTGTTGAAAGTCTGTGGGCTACACAGAAAACTAACAAATCAGCCAGGAAGTTGAAGCTTGGATTTTAAAGACGTTAATAGATGCAATTTGTAGCTACAAACATGGATACGCCAAATAAGACAAAAGATGTTTGGCAGCAATTGCAGAAACTATGTGAAGGAATCAAGCTATATGGATTTTGCACCTTAGATCACTGCTCACATGCCAGTATTTTCTGCTTCACAAAAGTGGATTTTTTTTTTTTAGCATATATTTAAATTGGCTGGATGGTTGAAACTTGGACCAACTTGGGTGTTCCAAACATGACTGTGATCCCAAACACATCAAATCTGATTTAATATCAGACAGAGCAGGCCAAGTCAATGGGTCCAGAATAACCTATTGGAAATGTATGGATTGTGCTTCAAAACTGGGTCTTTGCCCAGGAAATATGACATTACTTTTACAGTAAGAGCTCGCATAATCGTGGACGTGATTCTGTTTTCATCATGTTGTAAAAGTATGCCCATGTATCAGTATAAACATTGGTTCCAGTCCACAATAAGTGTGAAAATCTTGGCATGCTGCACACTGGCCCAAATCCAGCATAGTGCTTCATCAGCGTAGTTTTTCCTCAGCAGAAGCTTGAAAAATTTGCCAGTCGTCCTTATGGATGTGTTAACACCTCGCTGAAGGATCTGGGACTGTAGAAGCTCCGACAGCCAGCTGGAGGAAAAGGCCGGCAGACGAGCAGCCTGGCATGCTGACTAACATAATCAGTGTTGGAGTAGTACGTTAAAAACACGTTGAATTACAGACTTTGAGTCTGTCAGGTCTGCCCTTTGTGTTTTCTTTGGCAAGGGATAATACCAGGACGCACCACCTATCTATCATTGCATAGTGCGGTCGTAAGCCTGACCAGATTTAGATTAATGCGATTTGTGAAAGTCCCTCCGAATCTTACAGTATGTCCCTTTTTTTTTGTCTCTTGCAGGCTGAGACATGAACCTCTCCCGCTGAAGAATATTAATGCTGAACTGGTGAGAACTTGTTTTATTTCCCCTCAGCCCTGGTTAGGGCTTCAAGCTATCTGGTAACAATTGACTAAAGGACTCCTTTCCACTTCTGCAACATTCATTTCTTCTACTATGGCTTAGCATAGAACCCAGTCTGCATCAGTCACCATCTGATTAAAACATATGCATAATATAGATGTAACATAGATCTTCATCCTGTCTTACTCGCTCTTTTGCAGAGGCCCCATTAACTAATTATTGTGCTTTTTGCTCTTCAGCATTAAACATGCTGGAGATGACGCACTGTTTATTACATTTGTCCTGAATGATGAAAGCAACAAAGCTAATTTTTTTCAGTCTCATTCATGTGAGGGTGATGTGCAGCATTTGCTGATCCACTGGCAGACATTACTCACTGATAAGTAGGTTGCATGAGAGCTGTTGCTGCTGTATGCCTCTGTATACTCCCCCGTGCCAAGCTCAGTGTGCTGAAGTTGAGATGTGATTGCACTCTGTAATGCGTTTGGAATTAATGATGTAATCTACATTAATGGTGTGTAGCATGAATGCTATTTCTGATTAATTGTTACATGCTTCGAGTGTTTATTTATTTTAAGCAGGGAATAAAATCGTGCTGGGTTCGTGGAAAGTGGCCTTTTTACTACAATGAGGCAATGAATGAGGGAAATGTGACTGCATCAGTGTTTGTTTGTTTTTTTGTTTTTTGTTTTTTTTTAATCTTATATTCATATATTAAAGAAGTATCTCCTCTGGAGGTGGGTCAATATATTGGCCAGTTGATAAATTAGGCCAATATTTTCTCCCTGAGCACACAGTGCATTGAAATGGGTACTTATGGAGGTGAAACTCTGTCCTGAGGGTGGGTGAATAAACAAAATGAATATAATTATAATGTATACCATTTTCATTTATGTGTTTTGCTTGTGTAGTGAACAGATCATCTTAGACATTCTGACTGTAAATGTTTGTGCTTATAACTTAGACGTCTTTGCAAACACAAAAGTTTAATATTGTTACTTCTAACATAGAAAGGGTAAATCACTTGAGTTGATAAATATTTAAAACATGTTTGAGGCATGTTGTACTTAAATATGCCAAAGTAGTAAATGTCAATTTTGCTTGACATCATTTGGTAAAATTGTGCAATCTTTTGCAAGGTTTTTGGGCATTTATAAAAGTGCTTTCAGCCTCAAAATGATTGTGTCCCAGGGTTACTTCTATTGATGTTCTGACCAACGAAACTATCCAAAGAATAGCATCTCCATAGCATATTGCTGCCCCATGTTTCTCTGTTGATTTTAGGGATGTACTGATCAATTGGTCCCAATTTTCTTAATGTTGTGTGATCGGCTGATACTTGCATGTGATTTTGCCCACTGATCTTATCTAGCTCCACAAAAAATCAGCCAGTCTCTTTTTGCTCTGCTATGAGAGAAAACTGATTGACAAACCTGCCCTCTAGATCATAGCTGCAAGTGTGCAGTTAACAATACTCACCCCGCTGTTGCCAACTATATTTATAGACACCTCAAACCCATTTAACTACCCATGAGGTCTTGAGTTATGAAATAAATAGGTATAGGCCAAAATGCGAATTGGCAAGTTGGACAGAACACTGCAATCGGTTCATGCCTCGTAGACATGGAGTCTTAAGTGGGATTTGCAGTGCTTTGGAAATGTGCAATCTGTGTCCATTTGACTACTGTAGCATCTTCTTCCTTATGTTTGCTGATTACTTTTATTTGTGCCGCTCTTTCGTAAAGACCTGAATCATGGAGGGCAGAACTAACTGATCTATGGATCTCTGCAGCTCCCCCAGAGTTACTGAAAGCATGTTGGCTGTTTCTGACTAAAGATCTCCTTGCTTGGCCTCTCAGCTTGGTAGACATTTATATCTTGGTAGGGCTGCATAAAGATGCTGAACTGCCCAGTGCTCCATAATGTCTTTCATATTTGGAGTAATTTTTATTTGTACCTTAAGCATGCTTAAGGTACAAATAACCTGTCTGCTATATTTCTTCTTCTTCTTCATGATGTTTGTTCCTTTAATTTTGTAGGAGAAACCTTCGGCCTCTACAGAGCGTCACTATGTAAATTACATAAGTTGACTATTTATTTTGTGATTATAAATTGACTGCACTAGCTTTTATTTAGGAACATCATCAGAATAAGGGGGGCTAAATAAACACACTGAACTGTTCATGTTCTTGTGAAGAATTGTCCCATTTCCCCCCGTTAACAGTTATGTGCTACCTTGTGTTGGTCTAGCAGATAAAATCCTGATAAAGTACTATGAGGTTTGTTTGAAATATGGGCTGATACAGCCTCTCGTTGGACAAACGGCTACAAGCAGAACCCAGAGAACCTTTCAGAGAAGGAATGGTCTCCTTCAGTAGCAGCTTCAATCAGCTGCATGAGCTCCCTGTTCCAACTAGTTGTTTGAGAAAGTAGCTCGGATCTTCTTATGGTCTAATGGGTTAGATGTTTATCTAATAAACCTTAGAAAAAAATCAATAGTAGTCCCAATACTAACTTGACATTAGATGTGTTTTATGTTTTTATCTTTCTTTCTTTTTTCTTTAAATGGAATGGGATTGTTTTTATGTTGGTTTGCTTCAAAAACACCGTTTAGTTAATGATTTTCAATTCAATTTGCTCATATAACACAAAATTACAACTAATTTAATTGCAGAGCACTTTACAAGACAAAGTGGTTCAATTTATATCCAGTTATACTGAATACAAATCAATCCAAATTCAATTCAAATCTGTTGTGTTCTGAAATGCCCATTTAATTGGGCAATACAGTTTTTTTTTTCTTTTTTTTTGTTAAATGAGAGGTATTATATGTTTTCTATTGAACAATCAATTACCTTCAGTTATAAAAAATACTGTATAAATCAAACATAACTTTAAAGAAATTTGACTGAAATTTGACGGCTTGAAATTGGGCCTCAGTCTCTTTATGAGGCACACCTGAATGGTTGCCATAGGAGAGTCTAGAATTTCTCTTTAATAAGCTCCTGCTCTTTCTGGTACTCAGTGAGGAGGAAGCTCGGCTTGAGATTGCAACTCCAAGGATGAGCTTTGTGAAAATAGGTGGTGCATTGTGGGAGCAAACACTGAGGCACACCTGAATGGTTGCCATAGGAGAGTCTAGAATTTCTCAAACATGCATGAAAGAATTAAAGCAACACGTTGGGCATGTCTTTGATGAGGGAATAACATTATAACTTGATACAAAGCTCCAAAGATGTGATTTTACATAATATGAAAAATACATAAAATACATCTTGTGAATGTTTCTCCTTTTTGCATTTCCTGTTTCAAGTGGTAACAAATTTAGAATTGGTTGTCCCTTTTTAAAAATTGAAAACCTATTGGTTGCTCTAGTGTGTTAGTGTCTAGTGTCAGCAGATCCAACTTGACAAAGTCAACTAGACATTTGGAGGACTTCTTGTGTATGAATTTATTTCTGTTGTTTTTAAATTTTGTAATCACTTGCCAGAGGTGAAGTTAACACGGCACGGGTCGCTATGAAAATTTAACCAGGTTCAATACCAATTTTATGAAAAACATCAACACATCCACCTCCAGAAAACAAGCAGTATGTTGTTCTGTTGCATACTATGCAAATCTTATCTTGATCTGCTTTTATTTTTGGTTGGTTGGCCGTTGCTTCTGTTTCCACTGCATATTTTTTTCTTTTCCAAACATTAGGAAAAGAAAAAAAAGTGTCAGTATTGGCTGTTAAAAGCCTGACTGGTGCATTTTTAGAATCAATGTAAAAGGTGATTGCTAGTCTTGTAAGCTTCTTTGACCAGCTCTATTTATTATTGAAATCCACTGAACAACCAACTCAATCCTTCTGCAATGCAGCACTCTTGAAGAGAAAAGTCTGAGTGGAGTATCACATTTTTGTGCTGCATAATTATTCAAAAATCATTTGTCAAAATCAATGGAATTATATATTTTTTGTTGGGAAAAGCGAAAAAGCAAACATTTCGGATCATTAAGGAATCTTCACTTCAATGCACGGATGCCGAGAACTCTCAATTTTCAATATATAAACAAATGAACCACCACTATCTACTTTAATTCAAATTTTTTGACTTTAACAAAAATCAGATAAAGCTTTGGCAAACACCCTTTTATGTAGAAATAGAAAGAACCATCTAATTCCTTCCTTTTCTGTTTGAACCAAATCTACTTCTCTATCGAAAAAAACAAACAAACTCCTGAACATCTTGTATTCTTTAAACCCATAGAAAAATAGAAAAGCCCAATTAGCATATCCCTACTTTCAAGAAATGGGGGATAAAAACACTAATGAAGGTCAGTCCTTCATATAAAAACAGACAACTTGAGGACGTTCTGAACAGTTGAGATGCCAGTGCTATCTGCAGCAGCTGCAATGTTGCATCAGTGTTGGCTGGACCTGCCACAGAGTCAACACACCTAATCTTGCACTGCAAATATTTGCATAGATCCAACACCCTGGAACTCTGTCCCACCCGCAGATACATTTCCAGACCTTGACATTAGCAGAAAATGTGTTTGTGAGTCTCTCTTAAGGGTGCAAGCAGACAGGATCAAGAACACGTCTTGCTGAACAGCTTTTATTGTGACACTATTGAATTGAACGGTTAGTATTATACATTTATAAAAGTATTACGTCAAGCATATTGAATTATTACAGTCTCTACAATGAGGAGAAATTATTTTTAACAATGCCTGAATGTAGGCTTAGTTTTATCCATGCCAAGAAATATCAGGCATAGCTAACGGGGTCATTTAGCTTGTGAACTCGAACTGACAAGTATCTAAGATACGAACACTGTGCCATTGTGGATGTGTAGTTCCACTGGCCCGTGACACAGCTAAAAGGTTCAGTTTCGCCTCCTGCTCTTTGCACCGATAACCCACTCCATTCGGCTCCACTTAGCAGCCTCTGCACCAAATCTGGCTCCAACCCTGACTCGTTCGGATGTTGACGATTATAA